TGTGTGTGTGTGTGTGTGTGTGTTTGTGTGTGTAGAAAGAAAAACAGGTAGGTATCATTAGAAGATGCAAATCAGCTCTTTCCTCTATTTCTCTCTCTACTTCAAAACATATGTTCTGAAATATTTCTTTAGATTAAAACTGTAGATATCACAGTAGAACACACACACACACACACTAACACACACACACAGCCTCTGTGCAGCATCTCTGCCGATAGGCGAGGATGTTGCTCACGAGAGATTCAGCCCAGCTCCTTCAGCTGCACCCACTCCAACAACTAACCTCAGCAGAACTAGATAATAATTAAATAAATAAAAGGTATAAACTGTGACATACGAGGCTTAAAATCATCTGTAAAACACTTGAAAGAGAGAGAGAGAGAGAGAGAGAGAGCGAGAAGAGGAAAAACCTCAACGTTATCTTCTCCTTTAAACACACACGCACACATGCAGTGTATATACAGCAGCATTTTCCTGGAAAGTAATTATTTCAAGCGCTGCTTCTTTGAAACGCCTGTTCTCCTGGACGCCTTTATCTCACCGGGAACGATAACAACGCTTCTTGTTGATTAATTGAATTCTTGTGTGAGGCTGAATGCATTTGTGTGTTTGTGCGTGTGTGTGTTTGTGGTACTCTTTAACCTTGCTTTAGAATTAATGTCACAGAAATATTGAAGACGTGCAAATAAAAAAAAAAACACTTCTGCTGAAACACGTCCTACTATGGATTAATCCAGACCAGCAGATGTAATTCCACGTGATACACGAGATCCGTTTTTCTTTTCTCTGAGCAGAATCATGTTTGGTTTCAGCTGTAAAAGCCAATTTCTGACTGTTTGCACTGGCAGCGAATTTTCTTCAAAATGGCAGTAAAGAGCAGCGGAGGAGGTTAGAAAGCACTTCAGGACACTCGAACAGCAAGCCACTTCATTTTGGGTACACTCTGTGTGTGTGTGTGTGTGTGTGTGTGTGTGTGTGTGTGTGTGTTTACACGTGTGTGTGACTAACCAGCCTGCCTCCCAGACTCTTCTCCAGCTCCCTAAATCCTGTCACAATAATAAGCCTGATCACAGAACAGGCCTTTATCCATGGTGACATCTGTGGCACACACACACACACACACCCACACACACACACACACACAGACACAGACACACACACACACACACACACACACACACACATTAGTGCTGCTCTATTTCAGCTCAGGCCTACGTGTGTGTAAAGGCAGGCAGAACTGCTCCAGAATCAGCCAATCAGCTCTCAGCGCTCTTCGCTTTATCTTCTCATCCTCTCATCACATCCTTCATCACTTTTTAATTTTCTGTAGTGAGACCACAGAAACCAGAGTGAGGTGATAAAACACAACGAAGACAAAATAAACGGCTCGGCACTGAATTTGGTGTAAAAATGGCATCGCACTGCATCATGACCACGATTATTGATTCTGTGAATTTGCATCTCAGAGATTTATGACGGTTTATAAAGAAAGAGCTGAGCTTCACTACATTTCTCTTTATCCAAGATAAACCAACATCACACACACACACACACACACACACACACACACACACACACACACACAC